CGCCCCCTGGTGGACACTAGAGAGAATGCAGGTTTTAAGACACTTCCGCATCAGCTTCCCTCGGCAGAACCGGAGGTTGCCGCCTGGATGCGCTTGATGATTTATAGACGTAAAGTTCTTAACTGATAACCTTCTGCTTTGTGTTTTCAGCTCGACCAGTTCTTCTGAAACAGCAGGAAGTACATAAGACAGCTCACGAGGGAGACAGCATCATCCTGTCCTGCAACCCTCCAAAGAGCTCCACTCCTCCGCACATCCACTGGATGGACTTGAGTGAGTCTGTCTGTCACTTTTTGCTTTGTGTCCTCTTGTCCAGTTTATAAGCTGTGTCACAGATTGACACTTCTCCAGTCTGCCTTGTCTCTCTGCTTGTCTTTGCAGCCATCAGTTCAGCTGAGGCCGCCCTTCGTTCTGCTTCGCTGCATTGCAGATCATTTCCACTCAAACTAATGAATGCAGCATCTCGTCGGCTGATGTCTGGGCTCTTTATATATTTTTATTTTCTTATCCTCCCTTCTCTCTCTCTCTCTCTCTCTCTCTCTCTCTCTCTCTCTCTCTCTCTCACTTCCTCCTAAGTTGTCCGTTTTGTTTAACTCAGACGTTAAAGTCAATACTGCAGAGCGCTACAAACGTCCTGTTTTCAATTGCAGCAACCGTCACAGTTTCTTTTTCCCCGGCCTGCATTCATTGCGCCGTAACTTCTCCGCCTCCGTGTCTTTTCCTCAGACATGGTGCACATCAAGCAGAACGACAGAGTGATGGTCGGCCTGGACGGGAACTTGTACTTTTCAAATCTGCTGAAGAGCGACAGCAGAGACGACTACGTCTGCAACGCCCAGTACCTAGTGGCCAGGACTATCCTCCCTAATACGGCCGTCACCCTCACTGTCATGCCCAGTGAGTGCTCACACACACACACACACACACACACACACACACACACACAGATAAAGGAAATACTAAAAGTAAGCAGGATACAATCATTGCAGATTAAGCTGAGATGTCCTGACTTTTAGTCGAATTCAAAAACACTGGATCTAACATTTCCCATAATGCAACAGCATCTTTTATTAATAGCCTCCCTGCCTCCTGCATGTCCACTTCTTTCAACACCTCCGGTTTCAAATGTTGGCTTTCTGTTCAAAATCTTTCTCCAGCCTATTAGCGTCGATATTGCGTAATTATGTGTAATTTCTTGGTAAGACCCGCCCTGCGTAGCTGGTCAACGATTGGTTAAATTTAGGCGTTGACCTCGAGTAGTAGGGGTCAGGATAGCCCATTGGTCAGGGCACGGGGCCAAAACAAACCACGGGTACCACGACGAGCAGGGACGGCCAATCCTAGCGCTTAGGTTCTACAAAGGGCGGGTCTTCATAAAAACTAATTCCTCAAGACGTCCTCATGAAGTCAAGCACTCTGTTAGCAGTTCATGAGCTACACCTGACTAAAGGTAAAGCAGCTTTACTTTAGAGAGCATTATGCGGTCGGTCTCGGCGGCAACCTTCACTTCTGAAGAGTGAATCCTTAAACTGGATCTGGAAAGTCAGATTGTATAGAAGTCTATGAGAAAATGACTCTACTTCTCTCTTGATTTATTACCTCAGTAAACATTGTAAACATGAGTTTATGGTCTCAATCTCTAGTTTCAAGTCTTCTTCAATACAGCACGATGTTCATTTAGTACATTATGGTCCATTTAGAGTCACACAGACCATAAAGCAGGGGATGCTTTAGGGCGGGGCTACACGGTGATTGACAGGTCTATACCACAGTGTTGTCCGTGCTTTTTTTACAACTTTAACCCTTTCACGGTGTGGTTTCACTTCATGAAAGTTAATTGTAACATTTTGGTCCTAAAAATATTTTATTCAGCGCTTGGTTGTACTTAGCTCCGCCTTCTCGTGCCACTTCTTTTTGCAAAAAACAAGATGGCGACGGCCAAAACACCGAACTCGATGCTTCAAAACGGCAAATAAAATAAAAACATCTCTGTGTAAAGCAATAAAGGAACATTTAATCCTTCAGTTCTATTGAAAATCTGTGTCTCTCTCTCTGTGTCTGTCTCTCTGTCTCTGTCTCTCTCTCTGTCTCACTCTCTCTCTGTCTCACTCTCTCTCTCTCTCTCTCTCTCTCTCTCTCTCTAGGTAATGACGTCTCTAATGCCAGGAAACCCCACCTCTTCCGTCCCATTGGCTCCCACACCTCTGTGTTGGCCCTCAGGGACCACAGCGTCACCCTTGAATGTATCCCCAAAGGCCTGTAAGGATCTCTTTCTTTCTCCTTCAGTTCTTACCTTTCACAATAAAAGCCCTAAACATAAAAACTGTAACAGTTTACCTCAGACAGACTGTGTAGGTTTCAAATGTTCTTGTTTATTCGTCACGTTCCCGGTTTGTGTGTTATTCTTTTGCTTTCGTGCTCATCATTTTAGCTTGGATCTTGATCATTGAGCTCTATGATAAGCAGTTAAATATATATTATATCTTGAATGTTTTAAAGGTAACACACACACACACACACACACACACACACTGGTTTGATACTGATCCTCCTCCTTACAGGAGGAGGTGTTATCTCCCCTCTGTTTCATTGCTATTTTGTGTTTCGCTCTAATTATCCTCCTTCCTGGGAGTTCCGTCTCCGTGGTGATTAATGGAGAGTCGTTATGATGTTAACGATGAAATAGCATATTACATCATTAACAAGTTCATCTCCGTTCATTCAGCTCTCTACTTCCTCCATATCTCCCTCAATCGATCCACCTCTCTGTCTCACAGTCACCTCCGTCTCTTTCTGTTTCCTTCCTCTTCTTTTTCTCTCGTCTGTCGGCAGACCCACGCCGAAGGTGGAGTGGAAAAAGAAGGACGGCAGCCTGGACGAGACGAGCGGCCTCGTGGAGTCCCACAACCGTTGGCTCCACTTCGACAGCATCACCCAGAACGATGACGGCGAGTACGAGTGCCGGGCCTTCAACATCCACGGCTCCACCGCGCACTCCTTCACCCTCACCGTGGAAGGTAGGCCGCTGGACACACACACACTCATGCTGCTGTGTGTCTGACCAGCTGACATGTTGGAAGCTGCTGTTCTGTCGGAGAATAGATGACGTCACGTCCACTTCTTATATGAAGTCTATGGTTTTATAACTCTTTATTTTGTGGGTTTTGTGTGTGGGCTTGTTTGATTCCAGGTGTTTTGTGTTTTTCTTCGCAGCCTCTCCTTTCTGGGTGAAGGAGCCTCAGAACCTGCTGTACTCTCCCGGGGAAACCGTGCGACTGGACTGTCAGGCTGAAGGCATCCCGACCCCCATCATCACCTGGAGCATCAACGGTCAGCCGGTCACAGGTACGCATGTTTCTACTCCTCGCTCTCATTGGACGTTAGTTGTTGTTTGTCGACCAACTAAAGGTTCTTGTGTTATTTTTAGTAGTTAAAGGAGCAGAATCGTACATTAAAATATGGTTTGAAACTATGGCTTCAAAAGTTTTTTACATGTAAAACTACTTTCTTACTTCCTTACTTCTTTACTTACTAACTTACGTACTTACTTATTTACTTACTTGCTTAATTACTTTCTTACTTTCTTACTTTCTAAATAACTTATTTACTTACTTTTCTACTTAGTTTCCTACTTTCTGTCCTTCTTACAGTTACTTTACTTACTTACTTACTGACTGAGTTATATTCTTACTTACTTACATGTAAAGAATTTAAACTTGATGAAATAGTATCTTCTTCAGCTTCCTTCTACCTGCTTACAGTTAGAACTGTTCTAAATGTCTACCTGTTATTCTGCTCTGCCCCTTCATTTAGTCATCATTTTCAATCCTCATGTCCAATGATCAGCACTTTTCACAGAGAACTTTTCTTCTGCTTCTCTTAAAGTGTGACTGCAACATTATGTTGACCACAGGGGGATTTCAGGAAATCATCATTTCCTGTCCAACATATTGGTCGACTATAACAGAGAGCCTCTTAAGCTCAGATGAATTAGGATGCATACTTCTGTTGAGATGGACTCGCCAAGGTCCTCGACTGACTCCCAGTGAGAGGGGGGGGGACAATAACAGAACAAAGAAATGGGAGAGAGGAGAAAGGAAAGGTACAATGGGGGAAGGAAGGACTGAACGATAGGAGTGGACAGAGGAAGGCAGAAAGGAAGGATGGAAGGAAATCAAAGGAAGAAAAGAGGAAGAGGAGTGAACAAAGGAAGTGTGACAGAAAGAAAGGAAGAAATGGAAGGTAGGAAGGTGGCGATGAGGAGGAAGGAAGAGGGAAAGTAAATCGAAGGAGGGTGGAAGAAGAAAGAAGAAGAAAGGGATGAGGAAGGAAGAAAGGAGGGAACAAAGTAAGGGAAATGAAATCAATGGATGGATGGATGATAGATACTAACCTTCCTACTTTCTCACTTACTTACTTAGTCTCTTAGTTTTTGTTCTTCCTCACGTCCTTTCCTACTTTCTGTCTTTCTTCCGTTCTTTCTTTTTTACTTACTTACTTCCTTTCCTACTCTATTTCTGTCTTCTTCTTTATTTTCTTTCTTACTTTCTTACTTTCCTATTTAATTTCCTCCTCTCTTACTTTATTTCTGGGTTTTCTTTCTTTCTTCATCTCGAGGGATGATTACGCATCATGAGGGGCTTCTCTTAATGTGAAATTGATTCGATAAATATCTACAGAGCGAATACAAAATCAGACTTCTTGTGAACAGTGAGGCTGCACTGGAATTAGTCCTGCACTGAAAGCAGAAGAAGCTGTTAAACTGAGCTGGAGGAGCTCCGGTGTGTGACAGATGCTGCTTCGTCTATTGGCTTCATCTTCCTGCTCAAACATGTCATTGTGTTCAGCCTGTAAAGAGTTTCTGTTTGACAAACTCTCAGTGTTGTCTCAGATTGTGCTGTCCTGTCTTTAACCTCCCCCCCTCCCTCACTGTGTAGAGGTGGATGAGGACCCTCGGCGGAGCGTGTCGGGGGGTGTGTTGATACTGAGGGACGTCGTGTTTGCAGACACCGCCGTGTATCAGTGCGAGGCCACCAACAAACACAGCTCCATCCTCCTCAACACCTACCTCTACGTCGTCGGTAAGTTCACGCTCACCTTCCTCTCAGTAAAAGAGTTTTACATGTAAAACAAATTACTCTTACTTACTTCCTCACTTACTTACTTACTTACTTTCCTGCATACTTACTTACTTACTTACTTACTTAC